AATGGAACTTGAAGAAGTGTTGATAGCTCATCCAAGTCTTCAATTGATGTATGAGGATGGACCTGCACCAGTCAAGAGACAACATTAGAAAAAAAAAAAAAAAGGGAATGAGAGGTTATCATCGTTGCTAGAAGAAGAGATTCTATCTTACCAAGCCACCTCTATTAGAAAAGGCACAGTAGCTTCCTACAAGAATATTCCCAGCAATTGTCTGTCTGAAAACTTCTACGCCTAGAACATCAGCAATTATCTCCTCAGTTTCCTGATCAAAGTTGCAGATAAACGATATAATAAGCATATTGTAAAATCTTAAGGTAAAGAAGAAGATTTCCACATTCATGCTCAAGTCAACCACATATGACATGGAAAGATAACTTCAAATAAACAGCACATTTTCCTCAGAAGGTAAAACTAGGCACTGACTACTTATGGAAAAACCAACAAGGATGTGCGTACACCCTGATAAACTCTTCATAATCTCTGGAAGAATCAGGGAGAAAAGTTTTAAAAAGTAACTAAGGCTAAAGAAACCATGTTCTGATTTTTTTTTTCCTGACATTCTGCTTATTAAACATTGAAAAGAAAAATAAATGTTGAGGATATTGAGGAATACACATACAACCTCAGATTAAAGGATAATTCAAAACTTAAGTTATCATTTCAAACCAAGATTCTCAGCCAAGTAAAGGTCTGTGACTGCTAAGCACTCAACACTGCACTTAGATATTAGCATATATATATATATATATATCTTAATAAACTATTCCAGTGAAATATAGAATTTTACCCTGTCTAGATCAGTATGTGTCAAAGCAACATGGTCATTGCATGCTATACAGTTCCCCAAAGCAGATAGTTTCTCCTCAATGCGCTGAACAACGACTTGATCTGGTAGACTATTTCGCAAGTGTTGAAGTTCTTGAACAAGAAAGAATAACAAAAAATCCATCATTAATGTCACAAACTAAGGTTAAACCTTTAAACTAGTGAACTAGAATTCTAGATCAAATACACTATTAGCCTACAAAGACAAAAAAATGTGATTAAAATCCTCTAGGGCTTACATGCAAAAGGAATGTGATTGAAAGCCTCTAGGGCTTACATGCAAAACTGAACCAACTTGCACTTGAAAAATCAAATTAGAGGCAGAATATACATAAACCAAGGGATTTCAGTTTAAGGTTAGGAGTGTGATTGAAAGCCTCTAGGGCTTACATGCAAAACTGAACCAACTTGCACTTGAAAAAATCAAATTAGAGGCAGTACATACATAAACCAAGGGATTTCGTGTAAATTGCAACAAATCTAAAGCCACTTAGGGCAGAGATCGCAATTTACACTTGAGCATTAAAAAGCAACTAAAATGATAATTATAAACATCAAAAACTCAAGTGCCCTACATCTTAACATACCAGAAATGTGGCAAAGTTCTAGACTTTTAGTCAACGCTCCCCCGGAGCACTGAAATCTGCATATGATTAATTTTAATATTGGGTCTTTCCATCCCCTAACTTAGTAAGCCCAACCATCAAACTGTCTCCAAGAACACAATCAACTAATTAGTGCAATCCTTAGGATGCACAATTATAGAGAATTCAAATCCAGTTTCCTGATATGTTTAAATTACTTGAATCAAACCTCATCTTAGCCAACTAAACCCATATCATCATAAGTTTCTTTACCTTTATCTTAACCATTCTCTTGTTTTATTTTATGTTCTAGTAGGATACAACTGTCATTTGACAGGCATGCAGGATACATTTCCTACCCTAACGTATGACCCACCACCACCTTCTGTCCCTACAGGTTCCATCATACCAAGCATGCTTTGTGCAGGTTAGTGATGGGTTTGACTAATGGACAACGCCTTCCTCCCTCAAGAGGATTTTGTGGAGAGGTAGGTAGCCCCATTGATTCTACTTGTATTAGATTAACCCCTGCCCTCTCTTAAACTTCTTGTTATACAAGTATCAGAAATATAAGATAAGGGATCTGGTCATAAACAGCAACAAAGACTATAAAAAAAATACAAAACTAGCTATACATCATTTAACATGTTATAATCTCAAACTAAAATTGAACACTAGAACATCTCGTTTTCTTCCTAAAGGCTTATTATATTACTGTTGCTACTACAAGAAATTTTTAACAATGTCATTTGTATATTCTTAGAACAAGCTAAGGATGAAAATTTCTAGATAAAGGGTTTAAGTAAAACAAGGAAGCTTCAGGTAGAAGCAGAGAGTAAGAAACCAAATATTGCCAATCTTTAGACCTGGTTGAAAACTAAAAAAGAATCAACTTTAACATTCTTCCTACTTTAAGGTAACTCATAAAATTACCTTGATCTGTGGTGGTGTGGGGAACAAGAAGCCCCTTCTTATTTCCTGTCAGAGAGAAGCAAGTTCACATTAAACAAAGTCAAAGGCATCTACCAACATACCTCAGATAAGATCAATAAATCTTAAAAGTTCTCACCAGCACACAGCCGTCCTATTATTCTAGTGCCAGCAATAGAGGTCTTAATGACAGGAATGACATCTGCTAACTCTGACTCAAAAGCACTGCAAAGTGCCAATACAACCTTAATACATTAACAAAAACAGGGAAAAGAAGAAACTCTGAAAACATGCTTACCTGTAGAAGTTTTCTGACCCTCCAATTGCAACCAAGCAGTAAGCATTAGTCAGCTTGGAAAAGACTCCAACATCACATGAATTTTCAAACTGAAGCCCTGCATAAATCACCATATGAGACTCGTGATTATAGATATATTTACTCCAAAATGATGGGAAATCACCAAAAAAATATGACTGGTAAATTTTAAAACAATACCATTGTAGAGATTAAATATATATACATACTGAAGGCTGCAATAAACTTACTAGTTGCCATTATAAAGCGGAAACAATGGATCAAAGGTGAAAACAGAGAGAAAGGGCAGCTCTGCAGTAAAAAAGATACATTAAACTCGCTTTAACCCATGGACAAAAAAAATCCAGAAACCAAAGAAACATACAATTACTGAATAAAAAGTTATACTAATAATATGTGCACACAGTATTAATATATTCCAAAAATAAACTCTTTCACAAAACCTGTAGTCAAGGTTATCTATACGGCAATGTATATGCTAATATTTCAAGCAGGCAACCCTTCATCAATTTGTCCCATAAAAAGGAGCTATCGGAAACATTAAACCAATTACACACAGAAGGCTCCAAGAAAACTTCCCCCGTTAATAAGGCACAATGTTTTACACTTTCGCCCTATGGATCTAATAGAGATTCTACTCGATGTTGCTGTTCATCCCAAATTATCTCAGACATTCTCAAGCATTATATGTACTTGATTAGACAAAAAAAAAATCACATTAGTAAGCCACACCAAGGACCTATACAGTAACGTAACTCCTAAATTTCCACTGAACTTTAACCAAAACAAAAGGTCAACAGAAACCAACAGAAAAGTCCCCACGAAAAGGGTCAAAACATTGTTATAGCTACCAAATTGTAAAAACATTTAAAACTTTTTTTGAAAACCTCACTATCCATCTTCCGCAAGATTCCCATCACTATAACACAAAAAAAATCCAAAAAATTTTCCTTCATGATACCTGAACAATTTTTCAACAAAAATCTAAACTTCGAACTTTGGCAAACTCATATCCACTATATATATCAAAGGGGAATTCGAAACCTGCTCAAAACAATACATGATTCTACCATTGAGCTAAATGCTTAGGTGCAACTATATCCAATAATTCAACTCCTTACAAACATTTTATTTCATGCCACTTAATCCAAACCCCTAAAAATCAATTCCAAAGTGACCCTTAATCACCCCTAAATTTTAAAATGCCAATACATACAAAAAGAACTAAATTTTTATTAGGGACAAGATCTGCAAGTATGCATATGATTTCCTTAAAAGAAACACATATATAATTTAACAGCCTAAACTAATCCAGGTTGACCAGTTAAAGAATTTTGTTATTCCAAGCCAAAAAAAACCAAAAAGTAGATGAAAATTGGTCTTAAAATCTTACATTTGGAACTGAAGCAAAGAAACCCAGATAGAAAAACAAAACGAAAGTCTTAAAAAATTAAAAAAGGTAAATTTTTAAATACAAAGAAACACAATGAAGCAAAGAAAAGTTTTGAAAATTTGCTAAAACCTAAATAAATAAATTCTTACATAAACAAATGTTCTGTGCTTCCTTAGGGTTGAGACGCCGGCGTTAAAGGCGAAGAGAGGAAAAAAAGTGAGGTGTTTTAATGTCGGCTGGCTTAATAATAGGTTAACACGCCCTTTACCAAACGACGTCATTTTTCATAATCGAGTACTTTGAAAATGAATAATGAAAATAATGCACCGTTTAAAACTGGGCTCGATAAGAAGTTTCCCTGGGCTGGCGACACTTTTAATAGCAGAGCCTTGGTCTGGCCTGTCATTACATTTTATTTTATAATGTAAAATTTTTTATATTAATATTTTAAAATTCATATTAAATAAATTAATAATGCTTTGTATCGAAATAATTCTTTGAATTTTAATTTGTATTTAATTAAATTTTTAATCTTTAATTTATATTTAAATAAATTTTTAATTTTTAATTAATATATTAATTAAATTTTCATTTAAATTAATATTTTATTTGAAATAAAAATTAAAAAGAAAATTTATTTGAATATAATAAAAAATAAAAACTCATTTTAAAAAATTAAAATAATTGAGAGGATTGTAATATTTTATCCATTTATTTATTAGACTCCGTTTGATAAATAGTTCAAAAAACAAAAAACAAAAAACAAATAATAAAAGAACAAAAAATAAAACGTTCTTAATAAAAAATCCTACCGATCCATTCTCCCAATTTTCAAACCAAAACGCGTCTCTAACGGGCCGGGCCAAGTCAGAACGTAAGTTACCCCGATTCTTCCATCTATTAATCAATAGAAAGAGTAAAGCGAATAGGTCAGACGTAACTTCGTCTCGAAGGAAACATAATTAATTTAAGTAGGCGTTTGTTTTCTCTTTTGATTGATTCAATTTGGAGGCACTGCCCCTAAGAAATTTTTCATGGTTTCTCTTTTCTTTTTCTTCCTCTGTAAATACTAATAAATTTCAGCTTCCTTTCCTAATTTTTTTGGGTAATTATGGAGGAAATCAATTGGGATAGCCTGTTCCTTGAGCTTGACTCTCCCGATTTTCGAAATATCTTAGAAGACGAACCAGAACCGCCTCAACCTTCGTCCACCGCATCTCCCGGTGAAGAACCGGTGGTGAATTCGTGGGTCGATGAGATCGAGAAGGCTTTGATGGAGGACGATCAATTTGATGACAGGGTCGAGATTCAACCAGTCTCTGATGATTTTTTGGCAGATATACTGGTTGATTCACCTCCTAGTAACAGCGATGAGACCATCGATGATGCTGCTTTCCACAAACAAGACCGGACCCGCATCACCATTGATAATGATGATCCCATTGCTAAGAAACAGAGAAGGTATAAATGGAATTCCCAATTTATCATCTTTTACTGTGATTGAATTGGAAAACTGAATTGTATTTTTATCTCAGATTTCTCTGCTGCCATGTCTAGTTTGAGATATAAATTGGGTTTTAGGTTTAATTGGTTGAATCGATATTTTTGTAGGCAGTGAGAAATAGAAGATGCAAGCTGATGAGATCGAAGGTGAGAGGAAAGATGTATTGTTAGAAATCTGGAGATGAAGAGTAGGTATTTAGAAGGGGAAGTGTAGAAGACTGAGCCGCATGCATTCCAAGCTTCATTTCAGAGAATCAAGCTCTTCGTCTACTTTGAGTAAGGGTGTGCATTTGATGCATCCTCGGCCAAGGCAGGAGTCTGCTGTGCTCTTGTTGGGTATATGACATGATTCACTAAACCATCTCTCTTGTTTCCATTGTCTTCTATTTATCATTACAGTTTACAATAGTAGAATTGTATAGCTTTCTTCACAAATAGATGTTGGTATATGGCCTCTCCATGTATGTTTTATGACTTTTGGTTCTTCTAGTTGAGCTCATAATGGGGTTGGGTAAATGTTCAACCTTGCTCTTGTTAGTTGAAACTTGATTAGGGGTTTTCTTTTCTTTTTTTTTTTAATGTAGATGTATTTCAATATACATAATGTCTGCATTACAAATCTAAGAGCTGAAACTATAAAAGTAGTCTTTCTTTACTCAAATAGAGATCAAAAAATGAAAGAATTTGTCATTTTTTGTTGTAAAGGTAAGTAGAGTCTTATTCTAATTATTTTGCATCTATAAATATCCAAGATTTGATTTTCCATACCCCATAGATAGTTTGAACTCTATAGGAGCAATACTCAATTTTCGCTCCAATGGTTTGTAGAGGAATCCTACCTTCACGTGTGATTTCTTTTCTGTCTATATGCCCTGCAATTTGTATTTGAATTCCTTTTGATTTTCTTTTCTCTCAAGTGTGGTGTTTTTTGACTTTTAGTTCTTCTAGTGTGAACTCATAATGGGGTTGGAAAATGATCAACGTTGCCCTTGTTAGCTGAAGCTTGATTTTGGGTTTTTCCTTTTTTTAGTGTAGATTTATTTCATTATACTTAATTAATTTCCCATTACCAGTCAACAAACTGAAACTAAATGAAAGGGAGTGCTAGCATAGTAAATGAGAAATGTACAGTTTTTAACTTGAAAGATAATTTTCCTACTTGCATAAACCTATTAGCGGAGAAGTATATATTTCAAGAGGAAGTCTGTTTTGTGTCTTTAATATGCTCCTTATCCTAAAGATAAAGTCTTAATGATCTTCACCGGCCTTGGAGAAGCTTCATGCTTTTTGTATTCTCGTTGCTTCTTATGATGGTTTAAATCTTTTACACCTGTTGATAGTTTTTATCTCTGTTGTTTTGCAAAATCCCTTGTGTTGGGTTCCCTGCTTTGTTCCTGGGCATCATGTGCGCTCTTCACCCTGCCAAACCGTGCCCACGGTCTCTTCTGGAGGCAGTGCCACTGGCGAACAAGGAAAAAAAGAGGTCCGGAAAGAAGAGGGGCAGGGAGTAGGCTAGTGGGACAGTCCTTGTGAAGAGTAGAAGATGCAAGGCATCAAGGACAAAGATGAAGGAATTTCATGTTTCTAGAATTTTAGTTCCACTTTAAGTTACGGGGATGGTGAACAGGTTTAACTGCTGTATGTTAGGGCTTCTATTTACTTATTTTGTAAACCTATATTTTCAAATAGGCACTCTCGGTCTTTGTTTTTGCCTTCAAAACTTTTCTTTTGTGCATTTAGTTTGCATAATAAGAACAATAGAAATATTAGTTTATTAGTTTCTGCAGTTTCTCACTTCTTTTACTGTAGAAGTCCAGTCCAATGCTTGTGGTGTCAATTTTGAACAAGGATCGGCGTAAGAGTGCAAGAAAATTGGAAGTTGAAGATTATATGCTGCACAGGGATAATAAGTCTAAATTAAATAGACGGATAAACTTTTAGAAATTACACCTTTAATACACATGTCTCCGACCTTTTTTAAAAAAAAATAATTACTGTAACACATTTCTAAGTGATCTACAGAAGATAATAAAGAGTTTTTATTGGAGTATTTTTTAATCTTTAATATTTGGTATTATTTTCAAAATTATCGGGTAATTTAATCATTGAGTTATTTTATTATTAAGATAATTTTATCAATCGCGTTTTGAAATTATTTTATTTAATTAATAATAATTAATTTTTAAAATTTAAATATCATTGTATTTAATATTATTAAAAATATAAATTTTTTTATTTAGAAGTTTTAAAATAACTATTCATATTATAATAGTTATATAAGTTAATGATTTTCAATATTGTTTAAAGATAATAATTTGTAAAATATTAGTAATTTTTTATTTATATCATAATAAAATATAATTAAATTATTAAATTTATAATTATTTATTGATAGGTAAATTAACTTTTATAATATAAATTATATAAAATATTTTAAATTAAAAATATAACTAATATATTAAAATCATATAAAAAATATTCTACATAAAATATTTATAAAAAGATAAAATAAAGTTCACAAGTTATTTTTGAACTTGTTGCAATAAATATTAGTTTAAAAATATCAAATTTTATAATATAAAATAATTATAATTTTAAAAGAAAGTAAATTGATAATTTACATATTAAATGAGTATTATTAACTGTTGTTAATTTTACATATCATTTTACTTAAGTAAGAAAAACTTTCCACTCTTTTGGATGTAAACTAAATCACTTTTAAAAAAAATAATTTGATTATAGTTGATGATAATAGATCATTGTCATATAAAATCATTATAGTTATCAAATATAATAATTTAATCATTATATATAAATTATTATTTTTTTTATGATGACCACTTTATATACAACATCTTAATGTTCTTGTGTTTAATTTATGTGATATTATTTGTCAGTGTCCAATGTACATTTGTTATTCATGATGAGATAATAAAACTTATTTAATTTACAAGTTTATAAATTATGAATTTATGAGATGATGACACTTATTTAAATCACAAAACTTTTAAAAGGTTTTAAAAGACATTTGCATTAAAAAAAAAAAAAACTAAATCACAATTTATTACGTTTCAAACATCATAAAATAATAGCTAAATGCTCAAATTGTGATTAAATGTTTGAGTGGCTTTTCAATTCATGACTAAATGTTTTAATTTATATAAAATATATAGTAATGTAAGATTTTTTTCAACGAAAGCTAGGATGTACATGTTATGGATAGTAATAACGTGTAAAAATAATTAAAACCAGTTTATTAGACAAATTTCATGTTGATTAGGATTTTTTTTGAGTATTCTGTAAAAACAAATGAAGTGAAAAGTTATTTTTAAAAAATTTAGTTTTATCCAAATTAAAAAAGCAAAAAAACCCCAAACCCAAAACAGATCATCGTTAATCCTAATCACCCATACAAGTTATTTCAATTACTTATTCAAATTCAATCATTAATTTGTGTGAGGTTAGTTTTTTTTCCAATTGATTCTGTTCAAACAATCATTTGGTTCAGGGTTTAAGAGTTGATTCTATTTAGGGTTCAATGTTTGAACTCTATAAATTTGGAAGGTTAATTGTTGTTTTTTTTTTTTTTTTGTTAAATTTTGTGTGAGGTGAATAATATTTATACATTTTTGTTGTTCTTCATAGTTAGGTATATTCTCGTTTAAAGCTTTCTGCTCTTATTCTTTGTTGCTCAAATTTGTAATTAGATATCTTTTTCTATTTTCCTTACAAAGACTTATATCCTAAAAAAACCCACAGTGGTAAGTGATTGATTGTAATTATTTAATTGTTTATGTAGGCTTTTGTTTCTTTGACCTTATATTAAAAAAACTCACAGTGGTAAGTGATTGATTGTAATTATTTAATTGTTTATGTAAGCTTTTGTTTCTTTGACCTTATATCAATTTTAAGTATTTAGAGCTTTTGTGCATAATGAAAGATGGAAGGACTTTATCCTATTTGAAACTTACCTAAACTCCGAATATCTAGATGTAGTAGCTATGTTGAACATGTTTTTTAAAAAAAAGATTATATGCTGATCTCATGTCAATAATAATTAGGCATGTCATTATCTTTTGTTGAAAAACAAAATGATTCTTACTCATCACTTAAGCCTCCACTAGTGTGGGTAGATTGAATCTCCCCTATAATGGTGGTCTTCACTAAGCAGTAAGGCTATCTTGTTATATATAAGAAAAAGAAAAGCTATGATGTTAGTGATTCTTATTCACTCCTAATTAGTATGGGAATAAAGTAACAAGAGATAAGTCCTTATATCCATTTTATAACACAATTTTATAACATGCACTTATAGTACTAATAAGAATAATAATGTAACAAAGTAGATAAGAAATTTTTTTATACACATTTTTATTGGTGAATATTCCCAATGCCACTAGTTGCCCATATAAAGGCAAAAGCTTTATGTATGGATTTGCTATAAGTACGAGTGATTAGGGGAGTAATTAGAGGCACATGCACTCGCAAACTAATTACAATTTTCATTATCAGAGACATGATAAAAGCCACTTAGGTTCTGCTTTAACGAATGCAATCAACCACGCACTTTACTTTGCTTGCCTTACTTAAAAATATGCATTATCAATGTTAACCTAATCCAACAAATAGCACTACTAGTTAGAAACAATCTGAATATTACATATTGATTGAATGCTTACTTTTAATTTTTTTATTATTTATTCACTGTCATTGTCTATTTTATATAAAATGAATATATTTTTTATTTACTATTGAAATGATTCTTGCTCAAATTTAATTTATATTGTGACAGAATTTAATTTTCTTGCTTTTACGGTATAAGTTTTGATTATTGTATTCTATAATTTTACTATGCTAGAATTAGTAATGGTCGTAATTATATATATATATATATATATATAAGATAGTAGAGGGCTTGATAATTGATCCTGATAAGACATCTTATTATGAGTTATTAAACATTTGTAATGAGGCTGAGTATATGAATATTAGTTAGATATTGTTTTGAAACATGAAAAAACACTAGTTAATATGTTGATGATAGTAAATGATGATAGAAGCATTTTTTATATGATTAGGTATATGGTAGATCTTGGTGTAGTTTATGTGTATATAGTATATGGTATAGATGAAGTTGTTTTAGCTTTTGAGTTGTTAATAGGACCTAAAGTGAAAGATGTAGCTGAGGTAATAGGGAATAAAGGGATAAGAATTGAAGTTGTAGTTAAAAAAATAAGAGCAGGCAATGAAAATATAGTTAAGGAAGCAATGGTAGGTAATGTAGATGTATTTGAGGCAGTAAGGATAGAAAATGAAGATATGGTTGGGTCGATAAGTGTGCTGCAAAATAATGTTTGCTTATGAAAGAAAGTTGTAGTCATTTCAAGTGAAGACTTACAATAACACTCATGAATGCAATAAAGTTTTCAAAAATCTAAGTATAAGTTAAGCTATTTTGACTGAGTTGTATAAAAATAAATTTATGAAAAATCATTTTATTAAGAATGCAAAAGTGTAGGAGTTAGTTAAGAAAGCATTTGATATGAGGGTAAATATTAGCATAATAAGAAGGGCTAAAAAAGATATGGTTGATAAAATGATTAGTAATTATATGGATGAGTTTGAACTTTTATGGGATTATGCTTATGTGATCAAAGAAATTAATAAAAGCAACTTAGTGAAGATGCAAGTTCATAGGCCATTGCTAACTTCTTCACTTATATTTAAAAGGTATTATATCTATTTTGAGGCATTTAAAAAATGTTTAGAGAATGACTGTAGGCCTTTTTTTGGGACTAAATGGTTATTGGCTTAAAAGCTTGACAAAGTGTGTTGTTATGTGCTGTTTATAGAGATAAAAATAATCAAATGGTTTCAGTGACTTATGTGTTGGTGGAAGTGAAATGCACAGCTTCATGAAAATGATTTCTTAATTTGTTGAATTAGACATCATGTCTTTAGGAAATGAAATAGGCTAGACAATAATGACAAATTAATAAAAGTAAATATTTAAATGTTGATTTAAATTAAATAATGTTCTCAATGCTTAAACTAATCATTTGTAGGATATTGATGACAATTGCAGAATTATTTCTAAATGCTGAGCATAGATTTTGTGCTAGGCATGTATATGTTAATTGGGCTAAAAGAGGATAAATGGGTGAGAAGATGAAATTGGTTTTTTAGACAATTGTTATGTCTTGAACAATAAGACAATTTGAAGAAAATATGAGGAAATTGTAAAAAAAATGAGACTGTAATTGTAGACATAATAAAAGCTCTACCTTAGTAATGGTGTAAAACATTCTTCAACACATACTCTAGATGTGAGTTAGTTGACAATAATTTATATGAAGCATTTAATAGGACATTGCTAGATGCAAAAAAAAAAAAAAAATTAGTGATTTTTTTATTTGAAGACATTATATGATCTTTGATGGTAAGAATTAAGAATAAGAAAAAAATGTTTTAAATGGAAATGTATGATTGGTTCTAACATTATAAAAGTCATAGAAA